TAATTTGTGTGGCATTACACACCTCTTTTCAAAAAGTACATACATATGTACACACATACATATATACATGCATATGTATAAACATTCATACATATATGTAAAAATGCATTACAGCTTGCAATTTATAGAAATTTATTTACTTTTTTTCCAAGCCTAACCGCTGCCGCCACATTGGCGCTGGCAACCACATTTTATACATTCATTGTCGCTGTGGCTGTGGTTGGACACACCTCCCTTGCTTGGTTTGTGCTCTGTACGGCTGCATTTCATGTCGCCGATGGTTTGTTGCAGCAGCAGCATTGGATATGTGCTCTACCTTTAACTGCTCACTTGACTGGCTAACTGGTTGAATGGCTATCTGACCGACTGACTGTAACCGACCTGCACGCTTACGTGTGCTGCTTACGTTTGAGCGCATTCTTTTCTATTGAAAAGTATTAAATATTTTCGCAACGCTGTTTTCGTGGATCGTACATATGTATGTATATATATATGCATGCATATATAATATATTAGTGCACTAATAGGTGCATGAATGGTTTATTTTCAAACCGTATTCATTTCAAATTTTTAATTTTTGTTTATTTTTGTTTTTGTTGTTGCTATTTTCGCTCAATTTTTACTATCTTATTGTTAAAAGGAAATAAGTAAAAACAGTTAAAAGGGCTACAAACTTGAGCATTCAGACAGTAGCACCTGAGTGTTCAGGAAAAGAGGAACATTCCTGATATTTTGCGTTAATTATCCGTGAAAAGAATAATTTTGCCGCGGACATATTTTAACAAATATCGCGTGCTCTGCTAACTTCCGTGGAAAAGAATAATTTTGCCGCTGACATATTTAAAAAAAAAATATCGCCTGCACTTCCACAGAAGTAAGCAGAGCACTCGATATTTTTTAAAATATGTCTGCGGCAAAATTATTCTTTTCATGTTTGGGTTCAGCTGGTTTTCGACACAATTTTTAGTCCCACGGATAAAGAACGGGTAATTTACGGCAAATTATCAGATAGTTTGGGTTTAACTGGTTTCCTTAATTGGTTTTCAGAAGTTGTTCAGTTCTTTTCACGGATAATTAACGGCAAATTATCCGATATGAATTTTTACTTTGGGAAAAAGTAGTCCTGCCAACTTCATATAGGTTTTGATATGATTTTCCACAATTATAACGGACATACACATATATTATACGTGCTATACATACTACATATACATACAGTTGTAGTCAGCTGATTAAGTGAAGTGAAATTTTGACCAGTTCTGGTATCACATAAATACACATGTCAAACTTCGTATAAAAATTATAAAAACTCAACAAACTCTAACAATGACACCCAAAAACTTTAAACTTTTTGTTCAAAATTGTTAGAAAAATTTTAGGTATGCAGTTGTATAGCCCATCAAATTTTAGTAAGATAAAGCGCAAGTTTCAAGTCGCCACAAAATCTCGTTGATTTCTAATATTTTGTTGGCTGACGGTGTTGAGTATTTTCTTCCATATAAAATGCTCGACAATTTCTTTTATATGAAAGAAAGTGTTTAGCACTTTATTATACTAAAATTTAGTGGGCTATAAAACTGCATGCCCAAAATTAAAAAAAAAAATGTAAATAAAAAGTTTAACTTTTTTGGAAATAATTGTTAAAGTTTGTTGAATTTACATACATACATACATACATATCGTCGTTTAAAGTACAAAACCGCGTATCGTCGTTCTGCAAAACTGCGTAACTGACATTTTTTGCCAAAAATTGGATTTGCTCACACAAGCTCTTGGCTCCAGCTTTATCCATTCGTCCTGAAATATACTAGCCAAAAATGCGATTGCTTTATAAAAAAGAGAACCATTTTGAAAAATGAGTGCTTTTACTCTCTAGATAATAATTTAAGCAACCTCACATACGCGGTTTTGCATTATCTTTATACGCGCTTTTGCGTTTTGTTGATACGCGGTTTTGTACTTTAAACGACGACATGTGGTAATATTTTTAATTAATACATTTTAAATTTTTTTCTACTTTATACCAAATCAAACTGCAAGCAACTCGTGCAACCTAAACGATTCTATATAAAGGAATTAACCAGCTGCTTTTTATTAGGAGCGCGATTGAGATTTTTTCAAATACTTAATTTATACGCCAAAGGTCCAAGCATATACATACATGTATGTATGTATGTATGTACTAAATCTATACGTATGTATAAATATTTATAGGTAAATATGCGAACTGATTGATTGAAACTTCACAACCGGTATGCATATCTAAGTATGCATGTATGTATATACTAATGCATATATATTCACAACACTTATTTAATGCAAGCTATACATATTTGTGAGAATTTCATTAAAAGCCGATTTTAGCCAATTAACCATACACACGCATATCGTTTGGAAAATTACTGGCATATGGCCTCATTCAAAAAAAAAAACTAAAATAGATTTAAAGAGCTCTATAAAGTGACATTTTCATAAATATTTTCGATTTTTAGAGCTGTTAAAGTGTTCTATATTTTTTATCATAAACTTTAAAGATTACTAAGCATCATGCAGTTTTTTTTATATGTAAGCAGGTAATTTTGCAGCTAATTGTTGAAATTTTTTCTACTTGGTATTGTTTCAGCATTTCAAAGTGATATTGTTTGCCACTCTTGTTAATTTTTTTATTATTAGGAATTTTCAATTAAAACACAGTTCATTTTCTAACAAAATTCATACAAACTCAAGTTTGAAACTTTTTAAAATTCTACGAAAAAATTCAAAAAATGTTCACCTAAATTTCAAACTTTTTCTCAGAATTGCTGGAATTTTTTTTGAGTACACAGTTTTATAGCCCATTACACTTCAGTCTAAACATGTGCAAGTTTCAAGTGGCTAAAAATCAGAGTTGTGAAAAATGCATTAATTATTTAATGCATAGCATTTTAATGTTAATGTAAAAAATTAATGCATTAATTTTTGAAATTTAATGTAATTGAAAATTTAAATGCATTAATCCCGAAGAAATAATGGTAATGATTTTTTTTTGCATTGACATTAAAATTTTTTAAATGAATGCTATTGCAATAATTTATTGCATTAAAAGTATAACAAGCATTAAAAACCCAATAACTAATTTTATTTTGAAATAAAATTCTTTGTTGACGTAGAGGGTAGAATTTTGAGGTCAAAAAAANTTAAAATTTTTTAAATGAATGCTATTGCAATAATTTATTGCATTAAAAGTGTAACAAGCATTAAAAACCCAATAACTAATTTTATTTTGAAATAAAATTCTTTGTTGACGTAGAGGGTAGAATTTTGAGGTCAAAAAAGAAGTTAAGGTTGGTTTTCACTATGTTAAATTCAATCGCATTTGTAGTCAAATAGGTAACACATTTTCGAATGGAACTAAAACGGTTTATTGAATGATTTAGATTAGAATAGGTCTCCAGTCCTGGACATGGCTGCTAAATTGGCTATCTGTCCGTTTCTGGTTCATAATATAATCGGTATGCACCATAAATACGGTGACCATATTTAGGGCAGCCGAATACGGGACAAAAAATTAATTTGCCAATTTTTCCATAAAAGCTGGAGGATTCTAATCCCTTTTTCAATGATCCTAGATTTATTAGCCCTGAAACCGTATCATTATTTTGCATATATTTTTCAATATTTTATGAAAGCAGCACATAAATATTCAGTTCTAGCATCACACATTTGTAGAATATTTTCCATATCAAAATCTGTTACAAACATTCCCAGACAGGGAAACATAGTGAAAATATGCGATTACTTTAGAAGCACGACTCGGATTTCGCCAATTTTAGAGTAAAACGTAAAGAAAAATGACAATTTAAAGCCGAGATTCTCGACAAAAGTAAGATCAGCTGTTCTACTTCTGCTACCTGTTCAATATGCTTTGTTCCATACAGAATATTCAACGTGAAATGCGTTGAAAAAACCTTTGAAAAGCTAATACAAGGGCAATTTCTTTTAGAAACTTGAACAATAATCATTAACGTTTAATTTGATCCATATCCAATTACAAATTTTATACGAAAAATTATAACTTCAGAAACCATCTACATATGTGCTCCTCGATTCGAACCACAAACGTCCAGATTTAAAAATAAAAACTACTAGTTCATAGGCATGTCATTTTTATGAGCTGCTAGGGCGCCAAAATACCGAATACGGGACAAATACGGGACATTAAAAGAAATACAGAACTTTTTGCGTCCCGTATGAAATAAATAAATTACCAGGACAATTGATGAAAAAAGAGGACTGTCCCGTATAATACAGGACGGATGGTCACCGTAACCACAAATCAACATAAAAATCTACAAAAGCACACGCACATGGCTTTTGTTTTCATAAAACATCTAAAAATGTTTACAAGACTTTTTCTTCAAATAAACATAATAGAATGAAGCTGAAAAAACTATTAGTAACGAAGTCCTTCCAAAAGAGGTTATTCATATTTCACTAGAAAGTAAATTGAATGGTTTTAGTAATGCAAACGAACAAAATCATTATGCATTAAAATTTTTTCAATAGCATTAGATTGGATAATTTAATGAAAATAATTTTCATTGGCATTATATTTTTCAGCATTAATGCATTAAAATTTTTATTTGCATTAATTTTCAAAAATGAATGCATTAATTTTTTACATTAACATTAGTTGGTTAAGTACAATTAATGCATTAAAAAATTAATGGATTTTTCACAATTCTTCTTTTTTTTGTCGCATTCACTCCCATATAACGAATAAACATAATTTATTTTTATATGGAGGAAACCCGCAACAACTTCGGCTAGCAAACAATATCACTTTGGAATGGGGGTGCTATTGTATTGGCCAATACTGTATGTATGTATGTATCTATTTTGTTTTAAGCTCATTATCCGCCAGTGGAGCTAAAGTTTGCAATTTTTCCAGGGTAAACAAATAAATAGGAAAACGCTTTCATTGTGTAAACATTTATAAAAAGTGAACAATATATCCTTACCTTCCCAATATTTCCTTGGGTTCATATTTTGCATAAAAGCCTTTGGCCGCATCCTTGTCGGGCAAGATATCGTCCTCTTCTTCGTCCTTAGCCATTGGTTCTGGCGGAATTTTGACGGTCAAATTTAAAAGTACAACAGGAAATCACTGCGTCGCGCACTTGTTTTGTATTTTAATATTATGTAGTTTAGTGCAATAATTTGCAACCACAAAAAGCAGTGAAGAATAGCGTCTGAATAATGGTGTTCAACACCATCAACTGGTTTGCCAATGCCAAGTAGAACTAAATTGCCATTAAGCGTTGTCAGTAGACGAGTTGTGTTGAACTTTGGTGATAATTACTTGGATTCCGTTATGGCAGTTTTATTTATTTATTTTTAACATTTTTTATAACGACTTAGCATTTATGATACTTATGTACCTATGCACTATTTTTAATGGATGTTAACGCTAGAATAGCAGGGAAATAAGATAAAAGAGATCATGTAAACTTGATATAACACTTTACTTTGGAATTATTTTTAATGATTATTCATTTTGCGTGATTTAATAACGAGGGCGTTCCCGTAGTGNGAACTTTGGTGATAATTACTTGGATTCCGTTATGGCAGTTTTATTTATTTATTTTTAACATTTTTTATAACGACTTAGCATTTATGATACTTATGTACCTATGCACTATTTTTAATGGATGTTAACGCTAGAATAGCAGGGAAATAAGATAAAAGAGATCATGTAAACTTGATATAACACTTTACTTTGGAATTATTTTTAATGATTATTCATTTTGCGTGATTTAATAACGAGGGCGTTCCCGTAGTGCTTTTAAATTTGTGTTATATCGAACATACATACTTATTTATGTATGTATGTACGTTTCCTTTTACTTTTTATCTCTGCGCGATTACACAACAAAACAAAGTTTTTGGTACGCGTATGAGAACTTTTATTAAAATTTTCGCACTTTCCCACATATATTTATGGACCAAGCCGATGTCGCTCGCAAGACAAGACACAAAATTTCAATTTTCAAAGTTTGATCAGTTCCTACAATTGATATACCAATTGGAATGATATATATATTGGCCATTATTGGAAAGTTTACTCATCTGTTACGCTGAGCATATTCTCCTTATCAAGCTTATTAATTGTATGTTGAAATCTCCAAAAACGTAAACTTTGAATTACATCTCTATATTAGTAAACGTGCGATACATAAATATGAATTAAAATGAAGTCAGCAACTGCATTTGCAATCAACATCTTTGGCATATAAAAACTTTACATTAATGTCTTGATTTTTCAGTTAGCTACATACAAGTTTTTTAGGGACGAGTTATTTATGATACGGAGTGGCTCTTGGTGCACAACCAAGATGCCTTTTATTAATTTCGGATTTAATTAAAAGATATGTACATACTTTGGATACTACATGGCATTAAAAAATGAATGCATACTATGTATTGCATAGATAGTATAAA